TTTATTTCCTGAGGCAGTTTTGAAATTTAACTTCAATATGAAATAAAAGTAAAATTTCAACACATGGAAGTGAGGAGAGTTTGCAAATCTAAAATATGCCTTTAAGGGGGGGGGTCGGTATTTGATTATATTAAGATGATTATTTTTAAGAAACTATTTTAATATGGATATTTTTAAGAAAAGATTCAGGAATAACCTTTGACCTTCCCCCTGCCTAAAATAATTTAAATAGAGGACCTGCTCCAAGAAGGGAGCTATCATCATAGATAACTGTAGTTTGATATAAACTAAATGTGATGGACAGCGAGAAACCCAGCAAAGCCCATTTGGTCAGTCTTCTGACCTTTGTTAAAGATGACCCAGCAAACATTTGTTTACCAAACATTTGCTTTTCATCTCCCTGGAAATTGTCTCCTCCCCTTTGGAGTTCCAAACCAGGGCCTCCTGTTCTTTATCCTTAGCTCAAACCCCAACTGCCACAATTGTCCTTGGTTCTAGATTCTTACAGAACCCCGTCCCTCCATACCCCCCCCAGGTACATATGCAATAAACTTGGTTGTTTTCTTCTATTGATTAGAAGGACTAAAACGGTTGAGGGGAAAAAATGTTTTCTCCCTCTCCCCTCACAGCATCTTTCTCATAAAAAGGGTGGGTAGAGAGGTTTTTAGGTTAGTTTATTTTAGAGCTGATTTATCTTCATATCTTTTACAGCCTCTCCCCTCAACCTTATCTAAAATATATTCTATACAATTATGTAGAAACTAGAAGCCTGATGTATGAAGATTCATGCTAGAATGGGCTTTCCTTTCCCTGGCTGCCAGCACCACCTTCCCACTCCAGCCCAGCCCCTTTCCACTCAGGCCTCTAAGCCACCTCTTTCCGCTCCAGCCCCGCTTTCCCATGCTGCCCAGAGACTGGGGGTAGGGCAGAATGACACAAGCATCCTGCCCACCCCATCACTCAGCACCTGAATATGCAAATTAACTGCCATCTTTTTTTTTTGTTCGTTTGCATATCACTCCTGATTGGCTGGTGGCGTAGTGGAGGTATGATAAATTTACATGTTTGTCTATTATTCTGTAAGATAGCTTTCTAAACATTCAGAAAATTGTTTTAAATGCCCATTATATCTATAATACTAGTTGCCAAGATTTGAAAATTCTTTAGAATTATCCTGTGGACAAAGTTTGTCCTGTTGTCAGGAAAAAATGCCAAAGATTTTGAATAGTACCTCATTTGTCCAGGGTACCAACACCTTTCATTGTCTTTGCATTATTTTACAACTCTGTATGTTTTAGAAAACTGATAATACACATAATACAAGTCCATATAAATGCAACTTAATTTTGGGCCAGTAGGGGAAATTGATTATCTATATATATAAAAACCTAAGTGACCGTTATGATGCAGGAGCAGACCCCCTGGTGGTCAGTGCTCTCCCACAGCCAACCTCCTATGGCTGGCCAACCTCACACAGTCCCCCACCCTGGCCAGCCAACCAACCTCCTGCAGTCCTTCCCCTCTCTGCTGGCCGGCCCCAATAAGCCCCAATAAGCCTCAATCAGGACTGGGCGATATGGCCCGATTAGCCCCAATTGCTGGCCAGGCCAAGTAAACCCACCTGTGCACAAATTCGTGCACTGGGACTCCCATTGATTATATTAGTGCGCTTTGGATAGATTCATTTGACATCTATTTGTAAATTCATTTCAGAATTCCTTATTTCATGCTTTTGAATTCTCCTTGGTACAAGTTGCAACATCTTAATCCCCTCCTCACACACACACCCAATTAGTTAATGAGTTAAGTAAAACCATGGGCATATACTCACATTATTTCTTTAGGAGAGTAATGATTATATCCTCTTTTAAAAGTTATCCTTTAACATCCCAAATGATAGTTTGGTGGTATTATTTTTCCAGGATGTACCAAGATGCCATGTCCTCTGACTCCTTAATAATAAAGCAGTATACATTCATCTGACAGAATCAATTGTTTAAGGTTATTGCAATTGATTTCACACCTTTAAAAAAAAAATAGCCCCAGACCTTGCAAAAGAAGATATAAGTCCACCACACAGCAAGAATCATTTGAAATACATCTTTAATTTTGAAAAACCAATATGCAATCTACCAAAAACTTTGTTACACAATTATTAAGGCTCAACCTATTTTATATTTGGGTTGCTATGTCATAAAGTAATATTTTAAGTAAGATATAATATTTAATCATTATTAAGGAAGGCTTTCTAACTGAATTTACAAGAAAAGGGCTGTATCATAAGCACAGCTTCAGAATGAAGGTAACTAAACCCTAGAACTGTCCAATATATAAATCACGTTTAAAAAAACACACACACAAAACAAATCCAATCTTTATGTGCTAAAAAGTATTTTTTCATACCTTTTTAAATGAATAAACTATTTCTATTCCCATAAGAAGAGAAAATGTCTTTAAATTCTGATGTGTACAATTGAGCAAGTAACCATCAAGCCATGAATTCACTTCCACAGTTAATATGATCCTTTGACTGGGAAGGCACCCAGACCTGAATAATTAGAACCTGGTCAAGTCCTTGGAAGCCTGACATGTGTAATCCAATATCTGACCCCTAACCTGTCAAACTCAGAAAGGGTTGATCTAACGTACCTAAACTATTATAAAATGCTAGAGAGGAGTAGCTCCTCCTTCACTCTCTTCCATCCTTGCCAACCTTAAAAGCAAGGGGTTTCATTATTATAGTTGTTGTTTTTCAGATCATCATTTACTTTCTAGCAAAGAAGATTCTACTTCTTAATTTGTAAGCCTAAATGGACCCTATCTAATTTTTTACTTATAAGCACTGTGGTCACATATTCTGTCATTTCTGAGGTCAGAAGAATTGTATTAAAAAACCTCTCCTCCCTCCACAGAATGTTAATTTAACTTTAAGTAATGACTATTTAAGGATTCTAATAGATGTGCAAATTAACAATTATGCCAGAGCACCCTGCTGTTAATGCCATCAACCTTTGCATTGCAGCGGAAACTCAATTTGGGCTTTAGTCAGTGGTTTGTTACTAGGTCTCCAATACTAATCTGGAGATGCTCCTGAAGGCTGATGGCTGGTGAATAAGTGACCCCAACAGGGAGGTAGTCACAGACTGGGCAACCTGTGAAGCATGAGGGGCTTTTAATTGAACCATTTGCTGAAATTATTCCGAGGTGTAAATATTCATTAAGTCCAACTGAATCAGACTCTGAGTTCTTCACGGGCAGGATGCCATTAAACAGATCTGAAAGGAAAGGCAGTAATTAATCCAGCGAACTTTGCTGGCACCTGGAGCAGCAACACCCGCAGTCGCCTTCATATTCGCGTTGAGCAGACTGAAGTCTCTCCAGAGTGTGCCACACCAGAGGATGGGGAAAGATGGTGAAATTTTTCTTAATGATGCACTCACAGATTTGCCCTCCTATACATCAACAGTGAGTCTCAAGCATAGGATATTATGAGCAATGCATCAAGTGGAGTTAAAAAGAGCAATAACACTTCATTTGAACAGTCAACTTCTGCATTCTTTGCTGTTACAGCAAAATAATGAAAAACAATAAAATCTGCTGATTGATACAAACCATCATACATGTTTGCTTTAATCTGGTTTTGGAACAGATTACAATGAATGTGACACAGCATTAAATAAAACATAAGACATAAACTCTGGGCCGACCAATAAATGTTGTTTGGAAGAACATTAGTATATCAGTTTTTATTCAAAACAAATCTAGTAAATAGAGAAAAATATGTCCTAATCATACTGTAGATTCAACATAAATTGAAGCTGTGTTAATACCAAATGGAGGACTTTTTTTTTTCAGGCTAAAAAAATATCTAGAATATAGATTTCATGAATTTTAAAATTTGACCTTTCTCTGTAAATATTGAAAGGAAGTTATAAACAGAATTATAACTGCTAATGTTATTGGCTTTTCATTAGAAACCAAACATTTAGCTGAGTGGAGAACAGAAATGTCAAAAATCTAGGAAAAATAATCTAATGTTTTTCATTTTGCTCTAAATTTAGTAGAACTAGCATAAAATAATCATGAGCTAGGCTTCTACTCAAGGGAGACTTATGTTAATCACAAATAATACTTTATCAAAATACATTCTTAGAGTCTGTACTTTTGGGAAAGAATATTCATGAAGTTTAAAAATTCATCTTTAATGCACATAAATATTTTAAGTGGTGTCCAATCCTGGGATTCCATTTTAAAAGAAATCTCTCCAAGCAAAAGGCAATAGGTCTTAGTGATTGGTACTAAAATATGTATATCAACAGAAATAGCTTCTTTGCGGCCAACACCAGAATACAAATACATTTTGAAAACAACAATATGGGTAGGGTCGGGGGAGACAGGTACCAAATAAACAGCCAATGATTACTTGCAATGTGATAAGAGGACAGGAAGATAAATAATTCAAAATCACAGACACTTCCACATCTCCATTTTAGCTTGTGGTTTCAGGATCAATCTATACCGACCCACATTTCAGAGATGAGCAGGAGGGAAAATTAAGTATTTTGGTTTATGTTTCTTTTGACGGCCTCACCCTCCGGTACAGATGCTAACATGGCAAGAAGAAATAGGGACTGGGGGATAATAAATATGACAGCTGGGTAATCCAAAGCACAAAACAATCAGCCACCGAGTAATCAAAAAACAAAACCCCTTTAGCCAAACTGGGTCACACACTGAATAACAGCGCCTTTGAGCTTCAGTAGGAAGCAGAAACATCACGCAAATTACAGGCACATTTTAGATCAAATCCCTGGGGCACAAATATATCGAAAAACATAAAATACAGATTGTTCAGTTTCAGGTCTAAACTTCTCCAAACACAGCCAGCCACTGGACCTGTCCTAAGCCCTCTATTCAGAAGTCATTTCCACTAGATAGTAGCAGAACTGTGTGTGATTTCTGTTTGAAAAGTGAGTTGTCATCACTAATTCTTGCTATTCCTACTGAGTGATGCAATCACCAGCTTTATCTGGGTCTTCTCCATCGATTTTAATCCACTTCTTTTCTATTTCAACCTGTTATGCAAAAGCAAAAACACAAGCAGCATTAACAAATGCAACACAGCACTAGCACCTGTTCAGTCCCATTTCATACAGGAAGCATGCTCTGCAGTCACATCACCTTTTGGACACACACAGCTCTTTCACCCTCTTCATGCCTCTCCTCTCCTTTTGGGCAACAGAGGCCGGCCTCCCCGATCCCAATCCTTCCCTCTAGGGTCAAGTCTTAAAAAGAACTAAAACTCTCCTCTCTTTTAAGTCAAGCATCATTTTTATAAAATGTCCTCAGAATATATATTGATAACACAGACTTTCAGCTCATGTAATCGATTATATCCTCATATCATAGACCCAGGTCTTGGCCCACCTGAGATAGCACAGACCACTCTCGATAAGGAAGCCATCATCAACTTGTATCCTATTACCCCATTTGATTCTCTTCCTTGGATCTGTCACTATTCGAAATTACATTATTTATTTGTTTACTAATTGTTTTTTGTTCCCCACTAGAAGGTAAGCTGCATGTGGACAAGGCAGTATCTCATTCACTCTTGTATCCCCAGCATCTAGAGCAGTTCCTGGCACTTAGAAATGGCTCAATAAACATTTATTAAATGTAAGGTTACATTTTGAAACCAACTACCACCCAGTGCAGGTCAATTAGTAAATGCTATTAAACTAGAGACTCTGTTGCACAATTTTGAGCTGCCCTTTGACACCATGTGAAACTGGCATACCCTGTGAATAGAAAACTAGGCATAGAAGAAGTCTGTGTGTGCACTCCGCCCACATTTCATTCACACAGAACACTTATATACCTAGAGTTACAGGCCAGGTTCCCCAAGATGCAAACTCTGAGGTGGATAATGGTGTGCAGAAGGTCTTCTGGGGAGTGCTGTTGGGGTTGACACCTGATCGGGGAGGGAGAAGGAGGGAGAAGGAAGGAAGCAGAACAGGAAGAAGGAGAAGCTGGGCTGCAAGGAGGTCACAGTAAAGGCTTCGGCTGATGCCCAGGGAGAGGTGAAGCTAGGATGACCCTGTGGAGTTACCCAAGCTGAGGCAAAGGGTCTTCACACTCCTGCATCCAGCAGTCACTGAACAAAAGCTGCCCCAGGAAGAGCGCAGGACCTGGAGCCTTCTTCGGCCAGGACAATTCCCAGCTGCCAGGAGGACAAGTGTTTAGGTCCCCACGGGGCCACCCAGGACAGATGGTCCAAAATAAAGAAAACTCCTGACAGACTGCTGTATGTTCAAACCACAATCAAAACACCAGTTGGTGTTTATGAGTCAAAAAATCAGAATGGCATTAATCATAGCTGAGATTCAAGCAACATCCTATCTAATAAAGAGGGAATATGCTAATTGACCCTTGTGCCATCGCAAAGATGGCAGCGGCCACAGCCACAAGATGGTAGTGCCCAGTCCCCTCAGCCCTGCTGGGGCGGCAGGTGTGTGCCATGGCTGGGCCCGCTCCCAAGCAGGTCTGGCCACTCTGTGTACCTGCCTCCAGAGTCCCCAGTCCCCTCAACCCCCCAGACTCCCAGGGCTGGCCCAAAGGATGACCAAACAAATGAACAAGCAGGCTGCATGAGGCAACCAGGCAGGCAGAGGGGTTAGTGAGAAATGACCAAATGACTGAACAAGCAGGCTATGTGGAGTGACCAGGACAGCAGGAGGGTGCTGTTGGAGGCAACCAGGCTGGCAGGAGGAGTGGGCAATTGGAGGCAACCAGACTGGCGGGGGGGGGGGGGGGGGGCAGTTAAGGGCTACCAGGCTGGCAAGAGGGGAAGTAGGAAGCAACCAGGCCAGCAAGGGGGGCAGTTGGGGGCAATTAGGCTGGCAGGAGGGCATTGAGGGGTGACTAGGCTGATGGAGGGCAACTGGGGGCAACCAGGCCAGCAGAGGTGGGCAGTTAGGGGCAACCAGGCAGGCAGCAGGCAGGTGAGCAATTAGGAGCCAGTGGTCCAGGATTGTGAGAGGGATATCTGACTGCTAGTTTAGACAGTTTGTCGGACATACCCCAAGGGGCCTCAGATTGGAGAGGGTGCAGACTGGGCTGAGGGGACACCCCTGAACATGAATTTTGTGCACCAGGCCTCTAGTAGATTTCAAAATATTAGAAAGTATAAAATACTACTCATGTGATAAAAAGAAAAATAAATTCTAAACAGAACCACCTGCTTGTAATTTACTGTTTACGATTTTTTTACTTTGGAAATATTTTCTAATTAAATGAAATACTGGTAAACAAAATCAGTGATGTATTACCATTTCAAGATACTATGAGAAATAATCAATCAGAAAGAATATATGCACCCCTATGTTTATAGCAGCACAATTTATAATAGCTAAGATTTGCAAACAGCCTAAGTGCCCATCAGCAGATGAGTGGATTAAAAAACTGTGGTACATCTACACAATGGAATACTCTGCTGCTGTAAAAAGAAGGAATTCTTACCATTTGCAACAGCATGGATGGAAATGGAGAGCATTATGCTAAGCAAAATAAGCCAGTCAGAGAAAGATAAATATACATGATCTCATTCATTTATGGATAATAAAGAATATTATAAACTGAACAAAAATAGATTCAGAGGCAGAGAAGCATAGAACAGACTGTCAAACTACAGTTGGAAGGCTGGGGAGTGTTAGGGTAAGGAGCTTAGAGATCAACTGAAGGACTTGTACGTATGCATATAAGCATAACCAATGGACACAAGACACTGTGGGGGAGAGGGAAGGGCATGTGCTGTGGGGTAGGGGAGGCCGGGGGAATATCAATGGGGGGAAAAGGAGACATATGTACTACTATTTGTAATACTTTAAACAATAAAATAAAAAATTTTTAAAAAATTATAAAAAGATATTATGGGAAATATATGGCAGAGTTTATGTCTAAATCCACTAACTTTGAAGAGGAGAAAAAAAGCCAGTTTAGAAACAGGTGCAAATGTATGCCACTATTGAATTCATCTGGCCTAAGGATGCAGAAGCACTGATGGTGAACAATTAAAAATTGTTGTAATAGAGTAACTTCACATTTCCCAAGGGATGCTTCACAAAATACCATTTTGGAAGATATAGATATACATTTTACATGCACATGCCCATACAGACCAGATTCCATACTCAATAAGTTGGAGGAAATGAGGTTAAGGTTAACAAGGTTCTTTAATGCAGGTCTTCTCAGAGCCTTCATTTAACATTAATTTACAATATGCATTCCCGAACTTTTTTTTCCTCTTGGATACATGTTCCATAGAACACATATTGGGAAGTGCTAGTCTAACATAATTTTTGTTATAAATATGCTTCTGAAACGTGAATTCATTGTTATAAATATGCTTCTGAAATGTGAATTCGTTTTCAATTGATGAGAGCTGATTAAGTATGTAGCACTGTGTGCTCAGGCTCCTAACATTCTCTAGAACTGAGAAGGGACAAACGAGGCTCACTGGTGACCATCAAGTTTCCATAGTCAAGCTCTTTTTTTTAGCTCAAACACACACACACATACACACACACACACACACACACACACACTCACACACACTCACACACTCACTCATACATGGTCACATAAGAGGGCAAAGCAAATATCTAAAACCAATCATGTCACAGCTCTAAAGCCCTGAGGGGTTTGGGACATACCTGGATGTTGTAGCAAGCTCGCTGATGAACATGTTTCTGGGGCTGCACATCGCTCTCCACCCCCAGAGATCTGACCTCGGTCCTTGAGGCACAGGTGTCAAGCATCCCAAACTGAACAGTAGCAAATGGATACCAATCAGAGGGAATTTCTTGGTCAGATCCAAGTTCTAGTTTGTATGACAAACAGTGAGGATGATCAGGACCTTGAGGAAAAAATCAAATTGGTCAGTCATAGTATTTCAATGGCCATGGAGCATTTCTCTTGAATGTGAGAGGCACTATCCCTCTCTTTAATAAGAAATGCCATCAGCACTATGGCAGTGTGAATTCCATTTGAGCAAAATACCATCAAAATTTACAATTCTGCTCTAACTAAGGGGAAATCTTCCATTTTTAAGTACTGGCTTTACAAATTTATTACTGTATACATGTATATATTAACTCCTAAAAATGTTTTCAGTTAAAGTATGCTGTTTCTTTAATTAAAAGATCATTGATACCTTTTTAATTAATATGTGTAGGATTTGTAAAAAGTACTGAAATATATAACATGGTTTTCTACAATGTATGTAGGATTTGTAAAAAAAAATGTGTGAATTTGTAAAAATAAATAAATAAACTTTTTTAAGTAGACTAAATGAGCTCTTGTAATAATTCTTAATTTATTCATTTTCTTACTATTCTTATTGATAGTTAATGCAAAGATAAACTATCTAAATTAGGTCACATTATAAAATAATTCTGAATTTTTTAAAAGTTAAACTTAATGAAATTGTATTACATTTCAGGAACTATTTTAGGCCAAGAATTCCTTTTTCAGTAGAACAAATTATATTTTAGTACATTAATTTCCACTCACCCTTCTTAAAGCTTTGATGAAAACAGACATGCTGTGTAGAGATGGGCATATTGGCTTTGAATGTTTCAATCTAATATTTGTTTTCACTTAATTCAGTGTGTCATTTATTGAGCATCTACTCTACGCCAGACCAGGCTCTGTGCCAGATCTAGGGCTATCAGATAAATGCAAAACTTTAAATGTAGTCATATAATGTTTGTGTGAGTGTGTGTGTGAGTGTGTGTGTGTGTGTGTGTGTGTGTGTGTGTGATAATGGAATAAAAATATTTCCATTTAATCACTGTAGTAACAGTGATTCTGTTGCATTTTCCACAGCATCTGCATATTCAATGCAGCTATCTGCACTTTAATAAATGTATGAGGTGACAGTAATTTCAAAGCCAGATTAAATTACTGTAGCACTGACAGCTTCCGAAATAACATTTCCATCAGAATATAGCTTTAGGCACAAAAACAAGAGTTTAAAGGATTTCACTTAATTCTTAAAAGATAAATTGCCTTTCATCCCTTACAATCTGCTTCTTGTAGAGAGACTAATAGAATTCTAAGGCTGTAAAAGGCCTTGAGAAGGCATCAATCCATTAACCACCAGAGGCTCCTTAGCCACCTCCACCTCTTACATGCAGGGTAGGACCACAGTGGCCTCTGCGGTGCTCTAAGCTACCCAGATCACTGCAGGCAGATGATAACTTTATTCACACACACACACACCCAGGGGAGAGTCCACATCCATTATCGTTTGTTTCCAGTCTTCTGCCTGCAGTGCAGACACAGTAAGTTCATTTAAACTTAACTCAGGAACTCTAATGTCCTTTGTGGCACACAGTGGTGAGGAACACAAACACAGGACCCAGGTTGCCCAAAGCCCAGGCCCGGCTCTGCTACTTAAAAGCTGTGTAATCCTAGACAAATTACTTGACCTCTCTGAGCCTCGGTTTCCCCATATGAAAATGGGGGTGATGGTGATGATAATAACAACATAAACCTTACAGGATTGTTATAAGGATTGCACAAAACAATCAGCAAACCTAGACACTAACACCATGTTATACCATAGTGGTATAGATAGAAGTGGGGGATATATATGATTACTTTACAAAGTACTATTCGATTGTAAGTACAATATTATTATTTAAGTACTATAGTTTTGCTAATGAAGCGACAGTGAATTCTACATTTTTACAGCTGAAAATTATATTGGAGATTATCTAATTAGATATTCACATTTTAAAGGGGAGACAAAAAATTTTGGTGCCTTCTGCATTCAAAATTACCAAAGTTGAAGACCTAGTACTGCAAAAAAAATATTAGGAACAAAATCTTTCTACTTGCTTGTCTTAAAAACTGGTAAAAGTTAAAGGAAAGCAATTGTTCCTTTAAGTTTTCTGGCATATTTTCCTTGGCTTTTAAAAACTCTAAATACTCTACAATGTTTAATAACATACTCCTTCTCCTTTAGACTTTGATCTCCGTGAGGAGAGATATCATGTCTGTCCCCAGGACAATGTTTGGCACGTTTGTGGCTCCATGGATATTTGATGAATTTAAAAAAAGGAAAGAAAGAATAAAAAAGGCAAATCATGTTATTTATCTCAGTACTGACCAGCAGGGGGCACTCTCGGGCTTTGGTAATTGCTATTCTCTCACCATAACTTTCTCAGCAAAGGGAATGTAAATTACTTATCTTCTTAGGTCTAGTAGATACTGGTCCTTCTTGAAACAACACATTTTACATCTGAAACAGAACTGTTGCGAGTTGGAAGATATGAATGAAAGAGTAGGATACAAGTGGAGGGAGGAGAAAAACAACCAATGTGCTGGTGACAGAGAGCAAAGAGAAAAAAGTAAAGGCAATAGGGAAGGTAGAGATAGATGTATTTGTTAATTGACCCTCACCATTCCCACTCTCCTTTCTAATTCTATGCCACCTTCCACACCTTCTTTGGTTAAATTAATATTTTCATCTTTTCCTCTTCTTCCTCTCTCTCCCAACCCACCTCTGTTTCCCAACCGTCCATTCCTCACACTGACCACCAAAGCCTATCCTCAGAGAAAGCTCCTCTGTTCCTTTGCTGTCATTCACATCTTTGTCTGAATAAACTATCTGAGCTACCTTCCCAAGACCAACTTCTGGTGTAAAATGAAAGACCTGCCCACTATTAAAATATTAAGCATTGACATGTCAGAAGAAGACACATTTAAAGGGCCAGCAGCCTATCCCACCTCCCTTGAAATCACATACATGTAAGTGAAAATGAAGTCAATCCTGATCTCAAAATTCCACGGGAGGAAAGGCTTTTTTTTTTTTTAATTAGTATCTAGTAGAGTAGTTCTTATATTCTCTTTCACTTTCCATTTTAAAATATTTTTTTCTAAAAGTGTAGATTTTTCAGAAACTAGCTTAGAAAAGGTAATGTTTTAATGACTTTAAAAACCTGCTGTTCTGTAACCACCCAAGTGCTTTAAAAATCATACAGAAAAGTAGAGATATACTCTAAGACTGTTATTCTATGTATGGTCCGAGGGCCAACAACATTGGTATCTGCTGAGGACAGTTATCAGGCCCCACATGTTGAATCACAGTCTACATTTGAACAAGGTGATTCATGGACACACACAAGTTTGAAAGCACTGCCTTAGAAAAACATTGTCTCTCCACCCCAACCTATTTCTGTACTTCTCTCCTGCGGAAGCAAGTTGCCAGGCAGACCTTTCCCTCTTTGCATTTCCTCCCCCGACCCCCACAATGGTGAAGCCATAAGACTGGACCACAGGATCCCACCCACCTCAGAGACACCTCCTGCCCCCAAACTCTACCTGACACCCTCCATTTGCCTTTTCCCTAGGCCTCCTCTTTGCACACAGAGCTAATCTGAACAAAGCAGCTTTGATCCCAAAGGATTTGTTCAGTAAATTATCACTGGAATGCTTGTAAAATGTGTTCTGTGTGGGCCCGGTGCTATGAAAGTCTTCAAAAAGAATTCCCAAAGGCCAAGATCAAGTCCAGCCACCTCTTTGGGAAAACCCACTCTTGTAATTGTTCTTTGTGAGCTCAACTGCTAGTACAAACAGGTACAAGAATAATAACAGAGCTCTACAGACATAGGGATAGACAGCGCAGGGAGGGATGTTCTCTGCCTAGGGGTCCATAATGTTCCACTGGTTGGTAGTTCTCAACACTAGCTGCCTGGGAAAACCTTTTATCAGCGACCATGCCTGGGCCTCCCCCCACCAGAGAGTCATGGTTGGGATAGAGCCTAAATATGGGTATAATGTTTTTAAATCTCTGATTCTAGGGTCTCTGACAGACAGACAGGGCTGGGAAACAGATTTTAAAAGGAAGAGTGATGCCGAGACCGGTTTGGCTCAATGGATAGAGCGTTGGCTTGGGGACTGAAGGGTCCCGGGTTCGATTCCGGTCAAGGGCATGTACCTTGGTTGCAGGCATATCCCCAGTAGGGGGTGTGCAAGAGGCAGCTGATCGATGACTCTCTCGCATCGATGTTTCTAACTCTTTATCTCTCTCCCTTCCTCTCTGTACAAAATCAATAAAATATATATTTTTTTAAAAAAAAAAAAAAAAAGGAAGAGTGATGACAGGATCTTCAGCTATCAGCTAATGGCACCACTGTCCACCTATTCTCCAAAGCCAGAGACCCTGGCCTCCTCCCATACTCTCCCTACCCCCAGGCCCACAGGTAACCTGTCATCGTCTTGGAAGCACTTCTTTTGAATTTCCTCATCCATCCCTCACAGGCCCAGTGAAAGGCCCAGATGAAAACACAAGGAAGAAGCATAAGAAAATGAAAGTGCTCAGGTATACTCACAATGCAGATCTTTGAAGATTAATCAGGAAATCTAATGTCAAGAAGTCAATTACAAGTTTTCCCCATGTGCCACCATGTACAATTAAATCCTAGCCTAGTACACACACACACACACACACACACACACTTATCTGGCAGACACAGGCACAAAAGAATGAAATAAGCCGGCTATTTAACTAAATGTTCCATCGTCCACCCAGCAATGTATAAGCATGTCCTCAGCTGACCCAAGTTACCATCTGTCTCAGCCTCATTTCAATCTAAGTAGGGTGAAAACACTGAAGCTGTTTCACATGCAAATCAACTTAAGGTGTTGAATATTTACTTGAATGTTTATCAGGAAGCCGATCGATCTTCCATACCACGGCCCGGTAGGCACTCTCATATTTTGCTGACCCCACAGTGACCTGTATGACAGGTTCAGATTCGGGTTCATGTAAACTCCCCAAACATGCCCGGCGGTTCATTTTGGCTTTCAGAGACTTCTGCCTCTGGAGGTTCATGGTCCAGAGAGCCTTGATCCACTGCGACGGGACAGGAAAGTGTATCATTACGTTGTCACAGGACCTCAAGGAGCTGGCATGGGATGATTTCTGAGGCAATGGGGTCATGTTGACAAAGGCCTGAAGCTCCACATATGCCCCCTGGACGACCACTACAGACTTCAGGGAAAAGGGAAGGTCTTCTCCGTTATACAACGTCTTGAAACGCATCAGCTCAAACCGGCAGGCATCCAGAGGTACAAACTTAATGATTCGTGATCGCTCAAATTCTTCTGCTTTCACACACTTATGAAAATGATATTCAAGAATATCAATCCCCTTCTTTTCTGGGTCTGTTTCAAAATAGTGTTCATTTCGCTTCTGCAGCTCAAGATCGTTTAATGTTAAGAAGCATTCCGAGTTCCCGTTCACAAAGCAGAGGCAACAGATCTGAGTTATCACAGCACTTTCAACCAATTTCCCTTCTTCTTTAGTGATTTTACCCCAAAAGTTGTCCACAATTTCAAGGGAGATTTCTTGTTCCTCGTAGTTCCTTTTTGGTTTGGGAACAGCTGGCAGCTTCATCAGCTCCTCCTCCACAGTGGTCAGAAACTCAAGGAAGTCATGGTACTCAATGGATCCCAACTTTAGCATCTGCTCTATGTCTGGCTCATGAACGACTTCCGTCTTTGAATGGTACTTTCTCTTTTCTGTGTAGGACACATGTTCAATCTTCACAGTATGGATTTTTCCCGCCATGGTGAAGTTCTCAAGTTTGGGTTCAGAAAGCCTACACTGTGAATCAAGCTGAAACTCTTTAAATGGTTTTTCTAACCCCTTCTCATAGTACATTTGCAAAATTCCTCCAGGTAAGACTTTTAAAAAAATGGGCCCCCACTGACGGGAAGACATCATGTTCTTCTTCTCAGGGATTCTCAGCATGAAAGACCATCCAGGCTTGGGCTGACTCCTGAAGAGGGTGTGGGGGACAAAGGAAGAGCCTGTATCTTCAGCATCCAGACACTGCATAGGCAAACTTCCAAATGAGTCTTGGTCCTCAACTGATTGGAGGTGTTCAAGCTTCTTACAGATGTAGTTGAGTGAACACTGATTTAAGCTTTTTTGATCAATGGGCATTTCTTTGTCTCTTGATGGGAATCCCTTTTTGCTTCCTGGAGGGTCAAAGGTGAACTGGGAAGCACTGCCTTCTTCTTTCCAAAATGGACTTGAAAAGGCACAGTCCTCCTGAAAATACTGAAACTGAGGAGCCTCACTTTGGAACCCCAGGCTTTCGGCTTGTGGAGGATTAACTTCATCTGAAAGACCCACTTTGGGAACTGAAGGTGTGCATGAGTGATCTTTAGGCAAGGAAGCATGGGGTACACAGGCTGGTTTAGTAGACACTAAGGAAGAATCTGCTGCAGGTGTTGTGAGTGGGTTGTTTGAAGATAATTCTGGAATAGGATAAAGCACATGAGTCCCTGCTTTGGGGAAGCCAGGAATTCCTGGGAAGTCTTTGGTAGGTGTAGAAAGAGGAGAGTTACTTGGAGGTCCTGGACTGAAGTAGAAGTCTATGATGGGAGAGGGGAGGGGGGTACTGTTGGTGGAGGAAGACCCACTGGAAAATTCCTTAGGAGTGGAAAGGTTCAGCTTAAGTCCGTTTGGTCTACAGATGCCTTGATTCTCTGGACGGAAATTTTTTGACTTTTGAGAAGATTGAAATGTAGGGTCATCATCAAATGTGACCCAGTTGCCTGGGTTTGTAGAACACATCTTCAAAATCAGATTGTGATCTTGTCAATGATTCAGATGTGTTGTCTCTGTTAAAGGAGAAAAAGAAAAGAAGAATAAAATGAGGGGAAAATTTCAATTTACTAAGGTCTTTAGTTCTGAAAAATACTTTGATTTAAAAGCATCCGGATTTACAGATTAACCATGTTCAAAGAAGTGCTTAAAAGCTGCAATATTTTTGATGGCTGAATGGATTTAAAATACAATATCTAACAATATGCTGTGACAAGAGACTCATTTTAGTTTCAAGCACACACATAGACTGAAAGTGAAAGGATAAAAAAATGATATTCTATGCAAACAGAAATCTAAAGAGAGCAGGGGGTAACCATACCATCAGAAAAAATAAGTTTAAGTCAAAAACTATCACAAGAGATAGAGAAGGACATTATGTAATGATAAAGGGGTCAATTTACCAGAAAGATAGAATGATTACAAGTATATATAACTCAACATTAGCATACCCTAATGTATGAAGCAAACATTAAAAAACTAAATGGAGAAATAGACAAGGACATAATAATAGTAGGGCATTTCAATACCCACTTTCAATAATGGATAGGACATTCAGACAGAAGATCAATAAGGAAATGGAGGACTAGAATAACACTATAGATCAAGTGGATGTACAGGACATATCCAAAACATTCCACATAACAACAGTAAAATACACATCCTTCTCAAGCACACACAGAACATTCTCTAGGATAGATCACAGGTTAGGTCACAAAACAAGTCTCAACAAATTTAAGATTGAAATCACATAGGTATTTTTTCCACCACAATAGAAGAAAGTGGAAAGCAATAGCAGAAGGAAAACTAAAAACTTCACAAATATGTAGAAATTAAACAATACACAATGGGTCAAAGAAATAAAGAACAAAATTAGAAAATATCTTGAAACAAAAATTAAAACACAACATACCAAAACTTACAGTATACAGCGAAAGTGGTGCTAAGAGGGGAATTTATGCTGGTAAATGCCTACATTTTCTTAAAAGATCTCAAATAAACAGCCTAACTTTATAGTTCAAAGAACTAAAAAACAAACAAACAAGAATTAAGCCCTAAGTTAGCAGGAAGGAGCAAATAAAGATTAGAGCAGAAGTAAATGATATGGGCAATAGAAAATAGAAAAAATATCAACAAAACTAAGAGTCACATTTTTTTTTTTAAATCAACAAAATGACAAATCTTAGCTGGACTTAAATAAAATCACAAATGAAAGAGAAGACATTACAACTAATGTCGCAGAAAAAAATTTTTTTAATTTATTGGAAGATACTATGTGAATAATTATGGGCCAACAAATTGATTTACCCAGTAGAAATGGATAAATTCCTAGAAACATAATGTCTACCAAGATCCAATGATAAAGAAATAGAAAATCTGAACTGACCTATACTATAATTAGTGAGAAGACTGAATTTTTAAGGGGTAGAGTATTGTTACCAATATGCACATTGTTGTACAATAGATCTCTCGAACTTTTTCTATTGGCATGGCTAAAACTCCATCCCCATTGAACAGCAATACCCCTTTCCCTCTTCTCCCAGCCCCTGGTAACCATCATTCTACTCTCTGCTTCTATAAATTTGTCTACATTGTGCACTGCTTAACAATGGGGATACATGCTGAGAAATTTGCCATTAGGCAGTTTCATTGTTGTATGAACATCTTAGATTGTACTTACACAAACTTAGATGGTATAGCCTACCATACACCTAGACTATATGGTAGAGCCTATTGCTCCTAGGCTACAAGTCTGTAGGGCTTGTTAGTAACAAAACAACATGAGATTAAATCAAGCACAAGAGAAAATGGTGCAATCAAGAGTTGTGGTAAACATGAGAGGTATGAGGCTGCTGCTGGAATAACATGGTGTACTGTTTCACAATGAAAAATTTGAGAATTGTTTTTATTCACTGCAACATTTTTTAATCACTTCAAAAAGTCTTTATTTGAATAATTGTTATGTAGCCAGACCCTGTTAGTACTCTAGAAAATATAGAAGGAAGAGATAATTAATAATGAACTTATAACCCTCTTTCAGCCCCAAAATATGTGATGTTCACACTTTAGAAGCATTTTCAAATTCATGGTCTCATTTATGAAAACAATCCTGAGAGATGTACATCGTTATTCCCATTTCATAGCAGAGATTACTTGGGTTGAGTCATTGCCTAAAATAATCCTGCTGATTAAAAGGCAAATCTAAGATTTTTTTTAAATAATAGTTTTATTGACATACGACTCATAGAAAAAATTCACTCTTTAAAGAAAAAAGAAAAGACAATTCAGTGGTATTTAGGACATTCACAGAATTGTACATCACCACTACCAAAGCCCAGAACATTTTTATCACTCTCCTCCCAAATAAACTGCACCTACTCACAGTCACTCCTCATTTTCGTCCTCTCCCAGGTCCTTGAAACCACTGATCTACTTTACTTTCCTGAATTTGCCTAGTATAGACATCTCATATAAATAGAATCTCTACAACATATGGCCTTTTGTGTCTGGCTTCTTTCACTTAGCATAATGTTTTTAAAGCTCATCCATGTAGTAGCACATATCAATCAGTACTACACTCCTTTTTGTGGCTGAATAATATTTCATTGTGAGAATATCCTATATTTTGCCGAAACCAGTTTGGCTCAGTGGATAGAGCGTCAGTCTGCAGACTGAAAGGTCCCGGGTTTGATTCCAGTCAAGGGCATGTACATTGGTTGAGGGCACATCCCCAGTGGGGGGTGTGCAAGAGGCAGCTGGTCGATGTTTCTCTCTCATCGACGTTTCTACCTATCTATCCCTCTCCCTTCCTCCCTGTAGAAAATCAATAAAATATATTTTTAAAAAAAGAAGAAGAAGAAGAAGAAGAAGAAGAAGAAGAAGAAGAAGAAGAAGAAGAAGAAGAAGAAGAAGAAGAATATCCTATATTTTGTTCACTGGTTGATGGACATTTGGTTTGTTTCTATATTTTGTTTATTATAATACTGCTAGGAGCATTTGTGAGTAAGTTTTTTATGTAATCACTAGAGGCCCAATGGGATCTGGCCTAAACGGGCAATCAGATGTCCCTCTCACAATCCAGGACTGCTAGCTCCCATCTACTCGCCTGCCTGCCTGACTGTCTGATCACCCCCTAACTACTCCCCTGCTGGCCCGGTCACCCCTAATTACTTTCCCTTGGCAGCCTGGTCACCCCCAACTACCCTCCCCTACTGACCCAGTAAACCCTAACTACAATCTCTTGCCAGCCTGGTTCCCCCTAACTGCCCTTCCCTGCTGACCCAGTCACCTCTAACTGCCCTCCCCTGCAGGCCTGGTCCCTCCCAACTGTCCTCCCCTGCTGGCCTGATCACCCACAACTGCCCTCCCCTACTGACCTGATCACCCACAACTGCCCTCCCCTGCTGGCCTGATCACCCACAACTGCTCTCCCCTGTTGGCCATCTTGTGTTCACATGGGGATGGCCATCTTTGATCACATGGGGGCGGCCATCTTGTGTGTTGGAGTGACAGTCAATTTGCATATCACCTCTTTACTATATAGGATTTGTCTCAGGTATATACCTAGCTTGAAAGAACCTGAATTTGAACACAGGGCACTTCATGCAAATCTAACCCAACATATATTATTGAAAATATTCTAATGACATCAGAGGTGAAGAGCTATACAAAACACCGTACTGCCCCTGGTGGTGGGTATAACCCAAACACTGGGCATTGCTCTGCCACTCATTCCAGATATTCAGTGATTAGACTAGAATCAGCTCTGAGTTTCTTTCCAATTCTAATACAACTCTATGGTAGTTGACATCCAATTGAATTTTTTTTTTCAAAAGCAGAAATTGTGTTACCACTGGGATTTTTGACCAAACTTCCAAACTGACAGAAAGTAAAATTCCATAAGATCTACTAGTGTGAAAACTCAAAAACTACTGGAATAAAGGCCATGAGAAAGGCATATTTTTCTCCCTCCCACCCGCCTTCTTGCCTCCCCTTGTGGAAAATGAAGTCTCAACCAATGAAATCACTCAAGCTCGGAAAAGAGCCAACACAAAGGAAGAGCGAGGGCCCGGGGCTCAGCTGAGGACAGGGCTCGCTCAGTGTTGTCATTTGCTAAGTCCGCACATTCCTAAAGGCACAAAACACACAGTGGAGCGGCAGCCCTGGCCAGCTGGCTCTCTGGAGGGCATTTCACTGTCACTGCCCTTGGGCTGGAGTTGCCAGCAAACGAGTTCCCTTGGGGGCAGGAATAGCAGAGTTTCAAGGGACCCTGCCAGAAGCCTCAGAGGCAGGAAATCAGCAGCAGTATTTATCGACCCATCCCATCTCACCCTCTTCAGAAGGAATCCGGCCAAAATACTTCTTCAGATAAGGTAGAATATCATATAAATATTTTCTTTAGTCTGGTTTATTAGAAAAAAGAAGAAAAAAAGTGAAAACCAAGAGAAGAAATCATTCAGCTTCAGGCTGCCTCCTATTCTGATCTATCCCGAACGTTTTGCCTCATCCTTTTCTCATGGGTAGCTTCAAAACGTGGAACAGGCCGGGACCGGTTTGGCTCAATGGATAGAGCGTCGGCTTGGGGACTGAAGGGTCCCAGGTTCAATTCTGGTCAAGGGCATGTAGCTTGGTTGCGGGCATATCCCCAGTAGGGGGTGTGCAAGAGGCAGCTGATCCATGACTCTCATCGATGTTTCTAACTCTCTCTCTCTTCCTTCCTCTCTGTATAAAATCAATAAAAAATATATTAAAAAAAAAACAAAAAACGTGGAACAGTGATATTGGTTTCTTTAGATTCATGCTTATGATGTGTGGGGGTGGGGGAGAATGATTTCCGTAAACCAGATAGAAAAATCAATCCCATTACTTTCTAAATGACCCCTGAACTTTGGAAAGCACACCTTGCAAAACCTCTCCTACCTTGAGTACAAAAATCTATGCAAACCATACTCTTCTCCCTCTGCAATACT